GTGTGTGTGTGTGTGTGTGTGTGTAAGTGTGTGTGTGTGTGTGTGAAATGGTGGATTTGGACTCCCCCAAAAGCACCCCATGTGTGGTCATGAATAGTGGAGGCCTGTGCCATCGCCGTGGGAACCGGGACTACATTAAACAGTCATTATCCCAAGTGGCTAAAGCCATGTTTTATCTATCAGCGTCCCACTTAAGGAACGGAGCCCCGTGTGCTCACCGAACGAGCTTTAAAGCTGCATTTGGAGGGGGTGTTTACCCTAAAATATCTGGTGGAGGAGCCATAATGCAGGATCCCAAACTTGGGATCGACCCATTTGCCCAAACTTGACAGGAATGGAGTCGGAGATCAAGTGACAAAAGGTTTTATTAACTCAAAACGCACTCGCAAGGAGTGGAAGCAAAGTACAAATTAAAAGTACAAATCAAAGATCACTCAACCAGGATGGTTTAGAAAAAGTAACAAATCAAGATCACTCAAAAAACAAGCATAGAAAAGGCTGATAAACAGAGTAACTAAATGATACTCACAGGGGGTCAGAACAAAACCAGGAGGACCAAAATCAAAATTACTCTTTCGAGGAAACAACAAAGATTAAGGCAAAGATTAACTCTGGCTTTGGTTTATCTCAGTAGGACTAGGGACCAAACCTTTTGGCCCCAGACCAGGAGAAACGAGGACTATTTACCAAAAGTGTCAGGAGGTGGGTCTCAGGGAGGACTCAGTTGCTGAGAGTGAGTTAAAAGGGGTTAATTTTAACAAAAAACACACTCAAAAGGAGTGCATAACCAGATAAAGTTAAAAAAAAAAACAAGGCTATGATAAAACTTTAAAAAAGGATCAAATCGGTTAAAACAAGACTATGGCAAAAGCACTAAAAGTAAACAAGACTATGGCAAAAACAAGACTGTGAGAAATAATCTTGACTTATCACATAGTAATAAATTATTAATATAAAAAATGTATTTCTGTTTTTTCTTTTTATATATATTGTTAAAAGGCCAAATAAGGAATTCAAACCAAAAAAAAAAGACATTTTCTGTTTTGTTTTATTCTTGGATCAGGCCTTAAAGGGATATTCTCCGAAAATGTTCCCTTCCTACTGTAATTGTTCATTTTTGCCTCCATCTCCTGTAAATTGAGGCTCCTCCTCATCTCCGCCCTCCAAAAAAAAGCCTCTGAGGTCCAAGAAAAACGCGTCGTAATGACATCACGTGACACTTTCGCTTGGTTTTGAAGTGTCCGAACTTCAAACGCAGACGTTTGGGAGTGACAGTGTGCCAAAGCTGCCTGGTGAGGCTTTAAATAGAAGACATTAATGAGGGTGTCTTCTGAAATATGCACGCAGCTCTGTTTAATCTCTGCCGGCTTCCCTTTTGCTGCCGTTAGAGGTGAATTATTCTGAACTGACTCTGACTCGGGCACAGATGGATTTCCTTGGATGAAAATTTGTGGAGAGGCCCAATAAAAACCCTCGACTGGTTCTGAGGAGGAGGAGGTAATTGTGTGACACCTCAATTGTGAAGAGAGTTGTTTTGTTTTTGTTTCTTCCAAGAAAAAAGAGGCGTTCTGATGTAAAAAAAGACGAGAGGTTGCTTTCAAATGGGGTTTTATTCAGTTATTTTTGGATTGGTTCTAATTAATATCCGATCAGAGTTGTGTGTTTGTGGATGTTGGGTTTTATTCTGGTTCCTCTTTGATTTAATTTTGTATGGAAAGAATCCTCTCTGGTTTATATGGTCTTTAATGAGTGGGTCTTTAAGCTTTTTCCATTGCAAACTTTGGAATGGATTGCCACTCATTTTAAAATTCTTCTTAACCCTATAAAGCCAAATGTGTCATATCTGATCCGGTTTCTTTTGGATCTGAGACTTTTTGCATCATTCAGTGGTAAAAGCTTTGCTCAAACCCCTGTTGTACACATTCAGATATACCTGATAACAGCCAGTAGAAGACTACACCAACATATATTTTTGAGTTATTGCACGCTAATTTGATCAAAATAATTTCTGTTTTTTTTTTCTTCATATGTTGTTGAGGGGCCAAAGAAAGACTTCAGACTAAAAAAATCCAATATTCTTCCTATTTTTCTTGGATCACGCTTCAAAGGGTCAAAACCCACCTATTTTCTTTGGCTTTTGACACCATGTAGTGTTGATTTTATGTATGTTCTTGCATATTCTTATCCTTTGCAGGCAGTGCTTTTATTTATTTTATTTATTTGATCTTTTTTGTGCAGCACTTTGGAAACCTTGTGTTGTTGACATTGTGCTATATAAGTCAAGTCAAGTCAAATTTTATGTATAGAGCACATTTAAAATAACCGAAGTTGCCAAATTGCTCTATAGATAAAGTGGATTGGGTCTTAAATGTTCTGAATGTGGCTCATTAGGGCTCCTTTGGCCTCTGGACGTTTGGGATCATAGCTCCGTGCACAGGCCTGTGGATGCTCTGGCTATTAGTTGCATATATATACATTGGGGGAAATAAGTATTTGAGCCTTTGCTGATTTTGCAGGTTTGCCCACTTACAAAGAATGCAACGATCTATAACTTTAATCATATGTACATTCTAACAGTGAAAGACAGAATCCCAAAGAAAATTCCAGAAAATCACATCATATGAATTTATAAAAATTGATAACCATCTGATGAGGAAAAATAAACATTCTTTGTAAGTGGGCAAACCTGCAAAATCAGCAAGGGGTCAAATACTTATTCCCCCCACTGTAGATACAAAAAGGGTCTATAGTTAGCATATGGATACAAAACAGGGTCTAAACTTAGTATATAGATACAAAAAAATGGTCTATAGTTAGCATATAGATACAAAAAGGGTCTAAACTTAGTATATAAATACAAAAAGGGTCTAAACTTAGTATATAGATACAAAAAAGTGTGTATAGTTAGCATATACAGTGGGGTAAATAAGTATTTGACTTATTTCCCCCACTCTCTATGTACCTGGCCGGACGGTGGCGGTTAGCGGGAAGCTAAGGCCCTCCCCCCCCCTTTCTCTCTGAGTCTGACGTTCCCAGTTCCCTGAACTAAGTAAACAGCAGCTCGCACAAATGGAAACCAGGGGAACAGGCGTAATTACACAGCCACGGAGCCCCCGTCTGCTCTGTGAAGGACCAGGGGAGCCCCCCCCCCACTCCAGGAGTCTGTGGCTGAGCTGTAATTATGGATGACATCACCGAGCTACACCAGAGCAAAGTCACATAAAGGCACCGGGCAGTTTGGGTGTGGGGGGGCGCGGGGGGGGTGGGGTATAAGAGTCAGTGGAGC